TGGATAGCCACATGCAGATGGATGAAACTGGATTCCTATCTCTGACCATATACAAAAAATTAACACAATGTGGATTAAAGACTTCAGTGTAAGACTTGAAACCACGAAGATTCTAAAAGAAAACCTAGGGAAAAAGAAACTCTTCTCAACATTGGCCTAAGTAAAGAATTTATGACCAAGACCCCAAAGGCAAATGTAATAAAAACAAAAATAAATGGGACTTAATTAAACTTTGCACAGCTAAATATATAATCAACAAAGTAAATAGACAATCTACAGAATAGGAGAAAATATTCACAAACTATACAGCCAACAAAAGACTAATATCCAGAATCTACAGAGAACTCAGCAAGAAAAAAAAAATCCCATAAAAAGTGGGCAAATGTAAACAGACCCTTTTCAAAAGAAGCCATACAAATGGCTAAAAAAACATATGAAAAAAATGCTCCACATCACTAATCATCAGAGGAATGCAAATTAAAACCAAAATGAGATGTCACCTTACAGTCAGAATGGCCATTATTAAAAAGTCAAAAAACAATAGATATTGACATGGATGCTGTGAAAAGGGAACTCTTATACACTGTTGATGCATTAGTAAATTAGTACAGCTTCTATGCAGAACAATATGGACAGTTCTCAAAGAACTAAAAGTAGGTCTACCATTTGATCCCACAATCCCACTGGGTATCTACCCAAAGAAAAAGAAGCCATTATATTAAAAAGACAACTGAACTCTTATGTTTATTGCAGCAGCGCTATTCACAAATGCAAAGGTGTGGAATCCACCTAAGTGCCCATCAATGAATGAGTGGATAAAGAAAATGTCAGATATAGAGATAGAAATAGAGACAGACATAGACATAGACGTAGATGATAGATAGATAGATAGATAGATAGATAGATAGATAGATAGATAGATGATAGATAGATGATAGATAGATAGATAGATAGATAGATAGATAGATAGATAGATAATGGAATATTGCTCAGTTATAATAAAGAACAAAATAATGTCTTTTGCAGCAACTTGGCTAGAATTGGAGGCCATTATCCTAAGTGAAGTAACTCAGAAACAGAAAAACAAATACTGCATGTTCTCACTTATAAGTGAAAGCCAAGCTATGGGTATGCAGGGGCACGCAGAGTGGCATAATGAACATTGGAGGCTCAAAAGTGGGAAGGGTCAGAAGGGGATAAGAGATTAAATATCACCTGTTGGATACAATGCACACCATTCAGGTGATGGGTACACTAAAAGCCCAGACGTCACCACTATACAATTCATCCATGTAACCAAAACTACTTGTACCCCTAGAGCTACTGAAATAAATAAATAAGGAGAAAAGACAGCAGAAAATATATGAATAGCCCACATCAATATTACTATTGTATAGTCATCTATATAAAGCATATATTACAATTCTCTTGAGGTCTTCTTTGTATCACTTGAGTTCCTATTGTTGCTATAATAAATTATTCCAAGTTTACTGGCATAAAAAAACACACATATTTATATTTTCCCATTCTGGAGGTCAGAAATCTGAAATTGGTTTCACTGAGCTAAAATCAAGGTGTCAACAGGGCCAACTCTGTCTTTAAGGAGTAGGGGAGAATCCATTTTCCTGCCTTTTCCAGATTCAAGAGGCATCTGCATTCCTTGGCTCATGGTCCTTCTTTCATCTACAAAACCAACAACAGACACTTCAAATCTCTCTTTCTTGGACTCTGACATTTCTGCCTGGTAATGTCAATTCTGCCTGGTAAAAACTCTAGTAATTGCATTGAGTCTTCTCAGGTAATTCAGGATAATCTCTCCTTCCCAAGATCCTTAACCTAATCACATTTGCAAAGTCCCCCTTGCCAGGGAGGGTAACCTTCACAGCTTCCAGGAAATAGGATGTGGACATCTTGGAGGGGCCATTATCATGTCTACCACAGATATATATTAAAACATCAGAAGTCGTTTTAAATTAATTTGCCTTGGACTTAATTCTTACTCATCAGTTCACTTTGGGTCAAATATATATGTTAGATTGACTCATTAACTAGAAAATGAAAATAGTATTTTTAATAGAGTTCTTATACCAGTCTATTATTTTCTGCTGAAAAGCCTTTAAGTTAAAAGTTAAAATTCTTATTATAAAATTCCACATAATGGTAGTTGGGTAGCAATAACAATAAACTGATATTTTCTGCCAGTAGCAGTATTTTGATGAGGCTATTTTTGACTGAAACTCTATTTTATATTTAAAAAATCACTGTTGGCAGCATTTTATGCTGTTATTTATTTGCTTCACTGGATTTTTAAGTTTAATATTAAAGAGGCTTCAAAGCTAGATACAATTGTTTTCTATGTATACATGTTTAATATTCACACTTTTTAACCTAACAACCTAAGGATATACCTGAATTTCTCAAACTATTCAATCTATAGAGTTTTCCTCCATAAAACTGAAGTGATAGCTGAACAAAACTGCCTCAAAGACTAAGTTTTTCAGTGGTTATAAATTACCTTCAAATTGCATTATTTCAAATTTCTTCCTGTAATCTCATATTCCTAGCTCTTTAACTCCCTTTGATTAAATAACGTTCCTTTGCTCTCACTATTTTTTTGTGTGAACTTGTCAAATCATCTTTATCTTGTCTTAGTATAATTTAAGAGACTTTTATGTAGCTCTCTGAGCAACTATCACCACACAAGTCCAACAGGGAGAATAATTTACGAGGTTCAAAATGAAGGGTCATTATGAATGCTGTCTTTCCTGCAATGAATATGAACACTCTCTTGTTCATGCATGACAGGATTTTCACTAGATCAAGGGAGATAGATGCTTTTACACGACGTATTATGAATGATATCATTGGTTACATAAAATACTTTACTTTTTTAATATTTACATTGTTTAGTAAGTTTAGAGAACTGGGAGAAAACATCTTTGGGTGTGGGTTTATCTATAACTTTCACGTAAGTATTCTTTTGTTGAAAACACAATTTCAAAAGTGGTAGTTTTATGTCCTTAGGTTAACATCTAGGATCCAGTCATAAGCTGGAATAATATGCATAGTGAGTATTCTGCACAATGATACTAAATGCAGAGGAAAGCAAAGAGAGTAAATTTTCTCAATTTTGAAGAGAGGTTAATTCTTAAGTGTTTTTGCTTTATCAAAGTACTCCTGACTGGTGTTCAGCAATCATTGGTTCTTCTAATGTTTATTTGGCTATTTTTTATTGCAACAGACAAATCTAATCACTTCTGATTAATCTCAATAGTTGTGATTTGTATCATGAATACCTCCCTTCCAATCTAACTGAAATCCTAAGTGCTTCCATGTCACCTTATTTTTTATAAGCACATGGTCTAACCAAAATTCTAAATGTTTCCATGTCACCTATTTTTTATAAGCACATGGTGTAAGGCATACCAAATAAGAAAATGTATCAACCTTTAGCAGAGGGAAAACTGTAATAGAAAACTAAATGTTTATTTGAGTATATTTATGTAGATATGTTCATTATTTTAAAAAGCCTGGAAACCTAAGCCTCTCCTCTGGTATAAAAATCATCTTTCCTCTTTTCATTCCCTTTGCATTTTCACTAAACTTTCCTCAGTGTACTTATCTTGCTTTTTACATATTTATCCTGAGCTCTCTGCCTTTCCCACAATGCCTTGACTAGAAGGAAATGAAAGCTAACATTAGCCAAGTGCCAGTGGCTAACGCCTATAATCCCAACACTTTGGGAGGCTGAGGTGGGTGGATCACAAGGTCAGGAGATTGAGACCATCCTGGCCAACATGGTGAAACCTTGTCTGTACTTTAGAAAATACAAAAACTAGCTGGGCATGGTGGCGCGGGCCTGTAGTCCCAGCTAGTTGGGAGGCGGAGGCAGGGGAATTACTTGAACCCGGGAGGCAGAGGTTGCAGTGAGCCAAGATCGTACCACTGCAGTCTCCAGCCTGGCGACAGAGCAAGATTCCATCAAAAAAAAAAAAAAGATGGAAGGAAGGAAGGAAGAAAGGAAGGAAGAAGGAAGGAAGGAAGGGAAGGAAAGGAGGGAAGAAAGAAAGAAATGCTAGCTAACATTAATTGAGCTCTTGCTATGTTCCAGATGCATTCAAAGCTTTTTAGCATATTAATCCCTTTAATCTTCAAGCCAGATGAAATGGGTACCACTATAATCTTCACTGTACAAAGGTGAAACAGAAACTCAGAACAGTGAAGCAAACTGAGCAGAGTCACAGAGCCTCTAAGTGGCCATGCCAAAATCTAAACCTCGATTAAGAGTCACCGAACACATGACCGTCACCCACATCTAGAGAACCCTCAGTGCATACATTTCCACATGACTGACTTTCAAATCACCAGGTAATTCTTCCGAATCTTCACTATTGTTACGGCTTTACATTTGCTGTTCTATGTATATGACTAATATCTGCCCCCCGCCATGCCAGAACGTAGGAATATAACACATAGTATTTTATAGATGAGCAATAGCAGCTACTATTTATTAAGCTTTTGCCATGTACCAGGCACTGCATCTTGTTATTTAATACTCAGAAAGATCTATGGGGCACCTACCAGTTTACTTCCACTTTAGAGATGAGGAAAGTAAGTCAGAGAGAGGTTAGATGACTTGCCCATGATCACACAGCTAGTAAATCGTGGAGCCAGGATTTAAACTCAGTGGTTGAACTCCAAAGCTTGGGTCTAAATGAGTGACGAGATGCATTCATAGAAACCTAGCTTGGAGAGTCAAGAAAAGCAATAAGGAGGAGATGATATTTGACATATCTGGAAGGGCAAAGTGGGAAAGAAAGGAAGCAATACACTCAGTGGAGAAAACAACATGGATAAAGTACTGAGGAATGGTGTACCTCGAGCCTAATGGGTGCTCAAAAATGCAAATAAAATGAATATCTTTATAGCCCATGAGTTAAAAGCTTTTGCGCATCTAAGTGTTGTGTGACCAGTGCTCTCTGTGCATTTCTTTCTTTCAGTGCCACCGTGGGCCTTAATCGCAATAGCCATAGTCGCAGTCCTTTTAGTCCTGACCTGCTGCTTTTGTATCTGTAAGAAATGTTTGTTCAAAAAGAAAAACAAGAAGAAGGGAAAGGAAAAAGGAGGGAAGAATGCCATTAACATGAAAGATGTGAAAGACTTAGGGAAGACAATGAAAGATCAGGTAATGTATTTCTTATACATTGCTTCTTAGATTATTTTTTTTTAGAAAAAAATAAACAAATGGTTTATTATTTTATGCTGTATATTACAGAAATAAACAACTTCTGGACCCATAGCATTGTGAGATGCTTTGCAAGGCTTTCAGTCACTGTTCTAGATCCCAAAGCATCGTGGAGGCATTTGGAAGGGTTTTCCAATCTCCTGAGCAAATGGAACAGAAAAGGGCATCCATGATCATCAGGCTCATCTTGATGCATTTGGCATAGAGAATGATGCCTGAATATTTTGATTACATCTGTTTAACCAGTCTTCATTCTGTTTAGAGTTAGAGAAATGAAAGAGTGCCTGAGTGTTTTTGCAACTGGGCAGGGGATCTTTCTAATTTCTACTGTTCACAGTCACTGTTAAATAACTGAGTTTCACAGCTGTTCATCAAACTTGATGAAAGCAGCCTTTCCTACATATCCATCCAGCTGAAAAATTAGTTCTCAAGAATAATGAGTTGTATGGCAGAAGGGAGAGAAATATGAGCCAGTTCTAAATATCAAGACAGTACAGAATTTTTCCCTTATAAGAAAGTTTTCTTTCTTATTTCTTATAAGACAAAATTCTTATTTCAATTTAATAAGGACAATTAAAACCATAACCCTTTGTTATAAAATCCATTTGGCTGGGTTATCTTTCCAAGCCCAAGAAAGCTATTTGGATGTATTTCATGTTGCTATCTGTTTTTGGCTAAATTAATTGGACAACTTGGTTCAAGATAACGTTTACTATTACTAATGATAATTATTAAACACCTCTTCATTTTTGAAATAATATTCATACTGAATATTTCTAAAGAATATTTAATTCATATTTTAAAATTAAAATGCAAATGTACAAATTTTTCATAGAAATAACATTTTCAATTATCAATTGTTTTCATCAAATACAAAAGTTTTATTTATTCCCGAATAGAAAAATACATAGGCAGTTTTGTAAGTTCCTCTTATAGTATTATTATTAATCTAACTCTTAAACCTGAATCTCCTTAAGAACAATTTAATCAGGTGTTACAACAGGCATTTTAAATACATTTGCATTGTTTCCTAGTTCATAACACATTCAGGACACTAACTTCCCTTTCCAGCTTAAGTTTTAAACTCTTTCCTCAAAGACACTATAGTATCTATTGGTAATAATTTCACAAAGGCTCATTTTTTACTCCCTGCATTTGTGTTTGGTTTTTGGAGCTATGGAATGGATGGAATGCCTGTACTCACACTCAACAGAGTTTTGGCCTGAGCTTGGAGTAGCAAGCGTTTGATTTTTCTGGCAATTTCTTATCACAGTCATAAAGCCCATGCACAAATATCCAACTACAGATGTCTAATAGAGATTTTTCTCTTCAGTTAATTTAAATAGAAACTAAAATTTTAAATCCTGTCTTACTTTATTTCCAAACTTTTCATAGTAAGCAGGACTTGATAAAGATTTCTTTAAACAACTTATTGGGAGAAGTAAGTATGGAAATAACTACTAGATGGACATGGACTGAATAATATGTATGTTAATTTTAGCAATATTGTGAAAACAATAATTTGACAATAGATTACTATCTTTTTCATAATTATCATAAAATTTGAATGTGGTTTCCCTTGTGTTCTAGAATTAGTTAAAATTACTGAATAATGTAAAGTGATAACTATAGCATTTCTTCCTAGGACAATAAATCTATAATATTTATGGGATTTGTTCTGTACAATGTAAGATTGTAATTGACAGCATAGTGGTGGTGTTTATTACTTCTGTTATGACCTGGATAAATGACCAAGATCTCAAATATAGAGAATTAATGGGGGTTAATTTTTCATTGATGATCTATTTTTTGGGTGGGAGGGACAGAGAAAATGATTCAAACAAAGAAATACTAACAAGTCAGAGATAGTTTATAATAATCTGTTATCACAAATTATTTAGAATTTCAGCCACTCAAGATGTTTTCAGTCATTTTAAGTAGTCTCAATTTTACTGTTATGAACAATTAAATGCACAGAATAAGATACAATTTGGACAGATGAATATACACTCCAGTGATAAACATTTATATAACCATAGCTTATGATACTTTTTGAAGCAGACAAAAGTAGCTAATAATGGGCTCCATCATTTTATGAAGAGGAAGGATAAAAAAGCAAAACAGAATGTGCAGATTTTAAGAGGATGTTTAATCACATGATGATCACCAGATCACCCAAAATTAGAAACAGTGTAAATACAAATTAAAATTATTATTAAATAATTATATTTTCAAAACATCTTAAGCACAATGTTGAAGTGAACATGGGGAAGAAAGTAAAGATGGCTTATGCCTCTCTCATTTAAAAACAAGGCATATGTGATGGACATTTTAGATATAATTTCTTAATCTTAAGAAATATATATATATATATATATATATAGGCTCTATATACAAGATATAAAGGCTGTAGGACAATGAATACATTTTTTATCTTTCAGTTCATATCAAACTCACAGAAATTCAGATTTCAATATTCATGGCTACATGTCTCTTTAGGAAGGTTTTTTAACCAAGAAGATTTTTTAAATATTCTGCAATGACTACAAAAGGTATAGATACTTTATGTTGCATAAGATATATATTTTTGTGTTCTTGCATATGCGTTAAAATTGGAGAACACTAACCAGACAGAGGGAAAATATTCGCTTGTAAATTCATAGGTCTGGAAAGGTCATTTCTCCATGGTTTTCACTAATGTGTGTGGATATTTTAATTTTTATTTCTTCCTTCTATGTCCTTATCTGTGTTGTGTCTCATGACTGTTCTGGACTGTCCCTTGCGGTAGGTTTCCTCTGCTACTTAGACATCCCTAGTCAACGCTCAGATACATTTAGTGGCCTTGGCACCTGGGGCTCCACAGCTGAGGGTATATCATTCTGACACACATCAAGAGGCTGAACTAAATTGATTTTTTTTTAAGATAAAGTGTTCTCATTTTGAGCATGCTAACGGATTAAATATAACAGTATTAGAAAGCTCAAGTTTTAAGTTGATGGATACTGAAAGAAATTCAGTCCCTTGTGCTGCTTTTCTAGCATGCCTTATTAAATCCAAATTTGAACAATGTAACTTAACAATGAACAAATGCTCCTTCTGATGGTTGCAAACAAAGCACCTGTTGAATGTCAAAGCAAACCATAAGCATGTGCACTAATCTTTGAACTTTAAAATGAGGTCTGATGTTCCCAATCCAGCTTTTTCTACTGAAATTTATCAAACCTCAGAACTACTGGGTTTACCAGCTTTTTCTTCCAAATTTTGTTCCATGGAGGGGAAAATAGTACTCTTGAGATGTTATAATAGCTACTGATACAATAGGTCTGAATTTAATGTGATGGTACAGATAATGTCTTGCTTAAGCTCAGCCTTTGGGACAGGAATAGACTTAATCACTTCAGTGATGAACAGTGGCAGTGAGAAATTATCAAAAATTTAGCCCTGTTTCATGCAGAATAATTGTAGAGATGATCCTGCCTTCTATTCAGGCAAAAATCACTTAGGGAGAAGGGGATTTAATATCTCAGCTATTTCAAATTGCACTGGGCCTGAAACATGATACATGAATTGTCAGTTCTGAAAGAGATTTTTAAAAAGGTATTTTAATCAATGAATTGTTTTATTATAATGATAGAGTGACATGCAGATTTATCAAACAGAAATATGTGTTAAATAGTTTGCTATTATTTTTAAAAAACAAAATCTTATAGGGAGGCAAATTACCTAAGCTGCAATTTCCTAAGCACAACTACGGCAGTGTTAAAGACTTATACACAGCTAAGGTTTTGAAAGGGCAAAGGGATTCCACTGCCTAAAATTCTCTAATTAAACTCAGTCTTTTTTTTTTTTTTTTGTCACTTTACTATCATACGTTCCCTTTAGTGACCAAGCCCCTTGTGCACAAGTTAAACAATTAATAGAAACTTTAAAATATTTTCATGTTGTTTCCTGCCTTTAGCTATTAGTAAGTCAACATTTTATATTCAAAGAAACAACCAAGTGTAGATTAAACTTTCCAAATGAAATGGTTTGTAGCTAACCAAATTGGAAAATGTTTCTACACAGATGTATATCATGACGGCAATTTTCAATTTTCCAAACTCACTGTAGGCTCTTAAGAAATTTCCAGCCAAAAAAGAGGAGGCATCTCTGACAAGAGCTCAATTCTATTTATATGATCTTTCCACCTGAATGAGTTCTATTAATCTGTGATACAGATTAATAGAACTCAGTTTTTTAGAATCAAATTAGAGTTAACTGGGTGACGCCAAATTAGGAAATCCTGTAAATTCAAGGACTGAGGGTGCCATTTGAAGCACCACTGAAGGTCCCTAAGTAAGTGGGTGGATTGAACAGAGAAACTCCTTCCTGAGAATGATGAATACAGCAGAGAAAAACGACTATGTAGTCTTGGATGTGAGGGTAGCAGAGTGAAGGAACTGCAGTCTGACTGATGCCTCTCTACAGCCTGGTTATGCTTCTTACATTTGAATTCTATGAGAATTCTTAGATTCAATTTGAGAGCTAACAAGAGTTAAGATTCCTTTACTTTGTCAGAGATACAAAACAGTCCACGACTGTTATGTCCACTTTGATTTCTGTGAGATTCTACAGTAATACACGTGTGTGTATACATATACAAAAACAGCAATAAAATGCTAAACCATAAAACTAGAAGATAATAATTGTTATATGGAACACAACAACAAAGCTGAAATTTTTAAAATACAAAAAGCCCTTGTAAATCGATAAGTAAAAGGTGAACAACACATAGACAAATTAGTGAAGGATATGGACAGGCAGTCCCCAGAATAAAAAATACAAATGGTTAATATAAAAGTTTTTAATCTTTTCAACCTCACAAGTGGTCAGGATAATGTGATTTTGTATTATTTTTTATTTTGAATAATGATTGTGTGTAAATTTTTAATTAATTGTTCTAATTACTTGAAGCAATAAGAATTGCACATCCCTATAAACAAAGCTTCATGTACTTATAACCTTTGTAACCTTTGATATTTTTAGAAAAATTTTTGCAAGATAGGAAAATACATCATATATTTTGATTTTTTAAAAAAAGAAGAGCATTTGAATGTAACTTATGAGATAATGAGCTTTCTAGTATTTCCATTTATAGTACACTTACATTTTAGGTTATAAATATTCAATTGGTTAGACTGAGTTTTGAGAGTTCAATACAACTGATTTTGTTCTTAAATGCAAAATGAATTTTTATACCAATTTGTTTTTGACAAAATTACAAACCTCTTTTTATCTTTTGATATCAAATAGACTCTTAAGTCAATTTAATTCAGCCCAGCTTTTGGTGGAGCTGTTATGAAAATAAAGTGGTAAACTGAAACTGGAAGTGGGGTGAACTTTCCTCTAAACATGGATTTGCTGGTGGCATGTTTTTTTCCTCTTTTTCACACCATTATAAATGTATACGTGAAACAAAGGGAATTTAAATTTTCTGAGGATCACTTACTGAACTATCTTTATCATAGGAAATAAGTCAACAAAAGGACATGCCTTTTATATTAATTATTCCACTGCATGTAGCGATGATATTTTATATGATGCTGAGCATCTCTTTAAACTACATGAATGTGAAATCTGGCCTGGTTAGTAGCATGTTTATCTTTCCTCGGAAAGCAGCGGTTTTATCAGAACCAAATACAACACCAAGTTGACACTTTCTTTGCAACAATGTTACATTTTTTGCTTGCAATATTCTGAGGGGCTTCTTCCATCGCTTCCATTTTGCTTGCTGATTGGGGAAAAAAATTCCGTGCACAAATGGAATTTAAAAAATATGTAAGCAGCAAATGTGAATGTGTGTCAGACAAACAGAATTCCAGCATCTTACTGCTTGCTTCGAACAGCTTGGAAGTATAACTACAGGCCCAGTTAAATTTGAATTTTGATGAAATTTAGTGGAATTTACATGTGATCCACTTCTCTACACATAGGCCCTCAAGGATGATGACGCTGAAACTGGGTTGACTGATGGAGAAGAAAAAGAAGAACCTAAAGAAGAGGAGAAACTGGGAAAACTTCAGTATTCACTGGATTATGATTTCCAAAATAACCAGGTCTGAAGTGGTGAAATGTCTTCTAATTCCATTATGTTTTCTGAAATTACGAAGTAGAAATTGAAGCAAGATACTTTTTTAAATGTTTTGTTTGCTGTGAGGGAAAATGCAATTATCAAAGCTATTGATGAAATAATTTCTAAGAACAGGCAGTCCCCAACTTGCTAATTTAACATCTGGTAATTAGAATTTACAGTATTCAACCGATTACATCTACTTGTGGCACTTTCAACAGGCAGACAGAATACAAATTAACTTGAAGCAGTCGGCCTGCTTCTGAGAGCTTCTTGCCACAATCTCCTTGCCTCAGCTCCCTCAGCCTGAGCTGCAGCAACCTTCCTTGGACTTAACAGATTTAGAACTAGACAGGGGCTAGGGGCCTTTGAATTGGGCCACTATTACAGCCAAAGTTTTGAAAAATCATCTAATGGTTTGATAAGGAATCAGAGATGAAAAATGGACTCTGGTTCATTAATTTTAAAAACAGGATTGCCTTATACAATGCTAGTTGAAACTCCTAGTGTTAATGAGATAGCAATTCTAAGAGTGGGAAGACCAGAGACTAGATTTCTAGTGCCTAGAAATATTGCCCAAAAAATGGCAAAAAAACTAAAGAAGGTAACAAAATAGACATTTTTGCTTCAATTTCTCAAAAAATCGTGAAATGTCACCTAGATGCATGATAATATTGGCTACCTTTTACTAAGTGTTGGCAAAAAAAAAAATAGAGATTGCTGAAAGATAACTGTTAGAAAACTCTTTGCAATTTATAAAGCATAATAATAATAAAACCTGTGAACCCCCCACCCCCTAAAAAAAGAAAACTCTTTAATTCGAAGACATTCCCAGATCCACGACATTGATGAAAATGTTCCTTACCTTCTGAATTGTTAAAGAAATGTAAAAGTTGGATAAAAATTAGGTGAATAGGCTAAGTTAGAGATCAGGTTCTTAAAAATCTGTAAGACATAGCTCTTCTCCAACTAAGAAGGTTTTAAACCTCTCCAGTTCATTTTGCTTCACTCATCTTTTTGGGCAAAGAAGAACTGATAAATGTAAAATAAATACAGTTACTAGCAATGCAGCATGTGTTATTGATTTCCAGTTTGATGAGGAATGAACAATAAATAGTAAGACACTAATGCTCATCTTTGATGACTGTCCAAAGTCAGTAATGCTGTGAGAGCTCTAAGCAGTTGCAGAAATTCTGTGCTTTATTTAGGAATTGACAGTTCAAATAATGCCTTCACTTTCAGAAATTTCCAGAGGGTTCCTTATAAAGAATATATAAATACGCTGTCATATTAAAAGTAATTTTTTGATCAACATCATTAGAGCCTGGCTAGTTATTACATAATACATTCTAGAAAACTATGTTATTGGCTTACAGGTACAGGTTTATAGTTATACCAATTCTAGTTAATTACATATGACATTTGTGGTCATGTCTATAACTTCCACCAAAATTTGAGCATCAGGATTTGGTTAGGAGCAAAACCTCTTGTTTACATATTCTAGAAAAGATCAAGGACAACTTATATTGGTCTTAATACGTAACATGTTTTCCAAAAATTTAATCTGACTTTCTATATGCATCCAATATTTTTCTCATCATGTATTGTCCATTCATATTTTCAAATGAAAAATCTACTGGTGTCTCATCCTGGTTAGTCATAATTTTGAAGCTTTTACATTAACTTTAATTATTAATACTGTATCATTTTATAAAGCAGTATTTTTAAGAAAATAAATAACACAACTTTTTTTTACTAAATATAGTGACAGTACATTTACTATTCTCTTTCCAGCAAACATCAAATCTAAAAAGATATTTTATTCTGAGAAACTGATGAATTTTAAAATTACTATTCATTGATTTTTCCCAAATGTTCTCAACTAATTTGATTTATAAAGTGATTCCTAAGAAGCAGGAAGATAAAGTCTGAAAAGCTCCATAAACTTTTGATCAAATATATATGTTTTCTTACCAAAACTAAAAAATCCTAACATATTCTCATTAAGAAGCTTTATGGTAGAGATAAATGTGATATTTATCTCTTAGGCAGAAGTCAGAATAAGGTTGGAAAAAGTAACTCCATTCTTTCTTAACAGAATATCCAAAAATCTCTAAATTATAAACCATCTAGTTTCTAAAGAGTTTAAGCCATCTCTCTGTCATTTTCCCTACTCAAAAGAAAATTGGTTATAAAAAGTGAGGATGAGGAAATAGAATATTGCTTATTTGCATTGCTACATAAAGGCAAATACCAAATACCAATTTAGCAAACAAAGAGACAGACTATTTGCTTTACTAATCATGTCTATTTAATCTGATGCCTATTTTTTAGCTATTTTAGCTTTTTAATCTGATGTCTATTTTTTAGCTTTTTTTTTTTTTGACCATCTGTCTGTGTTTTGTGTACCTATGATCTAGCACTCTTGTTGCTACTGTTGTATCATGATGCCACAAAAAAAGACATTGAAGCATTAAAATAGAAAAAACATAATAATTCAGGATATTGGTCCATGTTGAAAATCGAGCCACCTAGCCAAAATACACTTAAGAATACAGTGGGTCGCAAATGAAAATGGATATGCATTTTTTTTTTAAGGAGGTGAATTGCTTTTTTACTCTGCTAGCTGAAAAGGCATGAACTTAGATTTTCAGGCTGTGACGGAAAAACCTGTGGTGTGACTGCATTTATTGAATAGCATATATCTCTTGAATAACAATAATAGTCTACTTTGTTTCCTGTGTTTATCTAAATCAGTCTGTTGACACAAAATCTCTAATGGCAGAGTATCTCTAATAGTCTACTAACGCCTCTTTTTTTCTTTGCAAAAATATTAACAATGTCATAATATGTTAATATCCATAATGAGGCTTAAGAACGTATTGGTAAGAAAACAGACTTGAAGAAATGTAGATAACCATAGTTCTGTGGTGTTTGGGAAAAATAAGAAGCATAGTTACTCACCATTAAAAAACCTCACCTCTAATCTCCCTTCCTGTCTATGAAGCTGAAATTACATTTCTTTCACTCCACGTCCTATATTTAAACACAGAATTTCATAGATAATAATCATTCTATATAAGTTAAAATAAATGTAGCCAGCACACAAGTGAAGGTCAAATATGACAGAAACTAGAAGATCTTATTTTTTATCTCAAAACGCCACCCAATTTCTAAGAAATTTCTGTTCAGCTGGTCTGAGGCTTTGCTAAAGAATAAAATTTCCTACTTTATAATTACAAACTTGTGACTGCTTAACAATGTATTTTCACTTACAAATCATGCCCTGGAAAGAAAAACAATGCACAAGGGCTTTTAGCAACTGGAAAGTTATTTGATTACAACTCTTTTACCAAAAAAATGAATTCCATATTTAACTGCAATCAGCAACCTTTTAAAAGCCTCTTTTTTGCTTAAAACTAGGCTTCCCAAAGGCTGCCTCTGTCATAATTGGGTTTCTGAAGTCTACATAGTTCACTTCATTTGCCTTCTGTGTTCAGATTCACAAGAGAATAAGAGTTTATTAAAAATAAATAGAAGTGGGAGAAATCACAATATGCATCATTGTGAACAAATCGATCTTTTCCCAAATCTCCACTAATATTTAAGTTTGCTCCATTCTGTCATTTATTTCAGCTGCTGGTAGGGATCATTCAGGCTGCCGAACTGCCCGCCTTGGACATGGGGGGTACATCTGATCCTTATGTGAAAGTGTTTCTGCTACCTGATAAGAAGAAGAAATTTGAGACAAAAGTCCACCGAAAAACCCTTAATCCTGTCTTCAATGAGCAATTTACTTTCAAGGTATTTTTTAATATTTACTTATAACTTTTCCTTTGTTGTTTTAGTTAAAAGACTGATCTCATCCTGACACATACATAGACATGCACATGAATGCTTATTCAGAGACTCCCAATAATTTCAGTCAGAATATGCAAACTTCTTATCTTCACCACAGTCAAGATTCAATATTGCCTTTCAGTGTGTTCAGAGTAGGATTCACTTCAGTCATTTCAGAATGGAATGGACTAGAACATGACTAGGATGCCATAGTCACCTCTAAAAAGTGAGATCGCTTCCTAAAATAAAGCCAAAGGAATGAAATCATTGTTTTTCTGAATTTCAAAGTTAGTGAAAATAGGTACATCTGTTGAAATCCCAGGATTAAGTAAGCTATGTCCTGATGCTTAAATGGTACAGATAGCTATGATCTTGTTACAAAATTATATGTGTAGAAGGGCAGTTTGAGCACTTTAAAGTCATTCTTCTTAACTAATCAATAAAAAGAATACGAACATATTGTTTTATTGCATTTCTAGCCTTTTTCCTTTACTCTAGGCTCTGGCCTGATGTTCTTCAATTTGTTGAGGCACCTCGGTTGACAGACAATAACAGAGAGATTCTAGTCATATAATATCTCATCAGGAAAACATGCCCTGCAGGTCTCCAGGATCTTTGTGAATTTGTGGGTCTTGTTTTGAAATCATTCATAAAAATAATTCTTTTGTAGATATGTTTAACATGAGAAAAACTTTTTAATGCATTACTTAGAACAATATGTTTCTGAAAAATGAATGTCTGTGTTGCCAGCAGGCTAATTCAAAATCACCCTGTCCATCAGCCAGGCTTAGCATGTGCCTTGTGTTGGCAAACATTCTGGGGCAAAATAAATTGAAAATGAAGGCATGAGTCATTTTCTCAAACCTTGTTTTCAATTATGTAAAGGAGAAGTGTCTTTCTATTCACTCTAAAAATTCTGAGTTTTCAAGACAAAAGTCCCTGATGTATTGTTAGTAATCTTATTTAAAATCTGCTTTTTCTGTACCTAGACAGTGAATTTAAAGTAGCAGTAAAAACATTCTGGAAATACTCAGCTCGCAAAGAGCTTAATCACTATAGTCAACATACTACAAAACATGAAATGGAAATAAAATTTTAAAAATATTGTAATAGTAATCACAGTTGTTTTATTCATCAGCAGTTTCTGACCAAAATTTAGTAAGGAAATTCTTAAATTATATGAGCTAATGTATTGGCTCTTTGTTTTGTATTGCATTACCTGTATATTATTTCTTTAAAAGTTGCTAATAATGTTATTTCAATTTTATAGTATCAAGTATAATTATTGAAATGTTTGAATTCTCTATAAATTTTATCAAGTCCCATTTTATTTCAGAAAGGTTGATAGAACTATGTGTGCATAAATCCAAAGTATGATATATTCTGCTATATTTTAAAATACTTCGATTTTTCTAGAGAACTGGTTAGACATTGTAGATTACTCATCTTGAAATGCCAAGAGGCAATATGATATAGGAATGGAAGCATGAGAGACTTTAAAGAGGGATGGCTTTACAATGGATTTCAGTCACTTAACAGGAACTCAAGATGCCCCAAACTAAATTCATCTCCCTTTCCCCAAAACAAACTGTTATCTGAAGGAGCTATTAATCATTCAAACAATACATATTTCTTAAGTGCGTCCTCTGTGCTAGGTGTTTTACGTATATTCATTTATCCTCAAAACAGCCCCATGAAGCATCCACTACTACAGTATTATCACAATTTACTAGATGAATAAACTGATGTTTAATCACCTGCCCCAGGCCCTTTAGTTGGAAAGTCCAGAAATCTGGTACAAGGTCTGTCTGACCCCAAGCCCAGGTTTTTGACTTTTGCTCTTTTAGTACAATCATCAAAAAGTCTAGAGAGATTTTAGATAAACAATAAATTTTTCAAGGGTTTATCCCTACTGTGAAATATTTTGTTTCTTTCTTTGAGAGTCAGCTCTTTGGAAAGGTTTATTTTCCATTCCTTCTAAAATGGAAAAAGTGTGATGCTTACTTTTTAATCATAGCATTTTAATAATCAGATTCCAAATAGATGATAAATGACTGAAAAGAAAAAGCCTTTGGAAAACTAAAATTTCTTGTATGTAGATGGTCCAATATTCTTCCTTTTCTTCCCTCCTTAATATACAGAGTTAATTGAGAAATGTTTGCTGAAGCATAAGACAACCATTTACACTGATAAAATAATAGGAAGTATATGAAAATTGATCAAACCTTTAAGACAAGTCTAAACAATTTCTTAATTAGGTATTTCTACTCAGTTACTGAAGTGTAGCTTGCTTGGATTGCACTGCTTTCACTGAATATTAAAAATGTCACTAATAAACATCCCAACCCATAGCATCTGTCCCAGATATATTTGAACAGCTGGAGAATTCATCAGTTCTTGGCCTTTTGCCACCACTCATCCTAAAGCATGTCATACCCAAGAATGAACTTCAAAACCCATATTATAATGCATCTCTGATATTCAGAGCATCAATTTCCTAGTCAGTTCTTGTCAATCAGCAAATTATTTTAAGGAGTAGGTGAGGCACTTGCGAATATCATTTCAATCCTTTCAGACTCCTAGCATAGCCTTTAATAAATCATTGCTCCATTGAACTGTGGCATTTATATGCCTTGAAAGAGTTAATGGAACATTTGAAAAAAGTTATTTGCCTCTCAGTAAGTTACACCCAGACAATATAACTTATAACAACAACAACAAAATATTATATAAGAAAAACTTATTTATAGTCAAATGCAATTGTCTTGTTTATTCTTTTATTAAAGTATTTATAGCATGACTAATACCAGGATCCATTATTAATAATGCTAACAGCTTCTAGAACTTTGAAATAAAGCAATAAATCACTATAAATTCCCATTTTCTCTCAAGTAATTTTAGCCTTAGCAGTTTGTCAAAAGTCTCAATTTAAAAAATAACCAAAACCAAAATTATCTCCCTGTTCTGTTTATGCAACATAAATATTAAATTAAGCACCGTGAACAAGTAACATGTTTTAAGCATTTTTATGACTGGATATTTTATCCCCATCTCTTTTTATTAAGGTGCCATACTCGGAATTGGGTGGCAAAACCCTGGTGATGGCTGTGTATGATTTTGATCGCTTCTCCAAGCATGACATCATTGGAGAATTTAAAGTCCCCATGAACACAGTGGATTTTGGCCATGTAACTGAGGAATGGCGTGATCTGCAAAGTGCTGAGAAGGAAGAGGTAAGGCAATTGTTAGCATTTCTAACATCACAAGCTGTACTCGCCAGTTGCTGCTCATATAATAACTTATTGAGAGATACTCTTTACAAAGGGCAACGTGGGCCTCTAGCTGGTGATAGCTGGTAAAATAGGACCAAGGGCATTTTACCGCCTCATTAAAAAGGGTACAGGTCTTCTGACTGTTATTTGAAAGGAGAGTGAGAAATCTGTGTACTGGATCTATAAACAGCAACCCTGGACACACACAAACACACAGGCACACAGAAACTCTTTCTGAAAGCTTACAAAATGCCATGCACACCAACTACTCCTTTAAAAGGACAATGAAAAATCATTTTATTCCTCATATTTTTCACAATCATTTTGTGTTTTCTACATAGGTTATTACACAAAAATAAAATGGTAACTTTTCCCTTATTGTTTCTGCATATCACAGACTGTTCATTGTTTCTCCTGAAGATATGAGAGCGTAATTGGTGAAACATCAAATATAATTCACAAAGCCTGATATTAAATCCACTTTTTTAAATGACTCACATTTTTATGCTACTCCTCATATTGTTTATTCCCAGTTTTAATAGTTTAGGCTAGTATTTTTCCATGACTTAAAAAGGGAAGTTCAATATTTTTGTGCACTTAAGCTTCATAATAATCAATCATATCTGATTATGCGATGCCTACCTGGCACCAGCATTTTTCTCTGCAAACATTTCAGTAGACCAATACCAGAAAAGCAAAAAACCCTCAGCTCTCCAATCCTTAAAACAGCTTTTTTCCCAGTCACTTTATAGTTCCTGACATGTAGCTATATTTACCCAAGGGACTGCCGACAGCTCAGTCATTTAGGATCTCCAGATCCCTAGGATTCCCTGTCCTCTTGGGGTTGCCAGGAAGATCACAGAGATCACTTTCAGAGAAACTCAACCAAGCCCATCACCTGGGAATCCTCTCAGCCTAAGGTTTTCTGTGACCAATCTGAAGCTATGAACTTCATACCCCCTATAGGATGAAATGAGGTTTTAGAACAGGCTTATTAATTCCCATGCTAAAATTAAACTTTTCATTCTAAAATTGCTATTTTCTATTTGATTTTACAAAAGGAGACTAAAATACTTAAGCTCTGTTTTCTTTTTGGAAATAAGTATATATACTACTTTCTAAAAAGAACCAGAACTTAAATATTTTTGTGTGTAATATACATGTATACATTTTATGTGTGTGTGTGTGTGTATATATATATATATATATACTGTCTCAGTATGTGTGTGTATGTGTGTATATATATATACATATTCATATATATACACATACACACATATATACAATGTGTATATATATACACACGTATGTGTATGTATAAACACACACACCTATATACATATATAGGTATATAGATACACATACACATATATATGTATGTATACACACATATATGTATATATACACACACATGTATATATGTGTGTATATATATACATATATGTATATATACCTATATACACATTTAACTAAACTTTCTTAGATCTTGAAACAGATTTATTTCTACTGTGGATATTCAAGAATAACTAAGAAAAATACTGAGTTTTAAAATTACATGATTTCATGGATAGTTCTTCCCATAAGTGAACTAAAGTAATCTTATGGACATCTATAAAAAAAATTCAGTCATTCAATTACAATGCTTATAATTATTTAACAAAGTAGTGCCATGTTTTGCTGAGTTTTTTATTGAGGTGTTTGACTTTGCATAAATTCTTTGGGTGATAAAGTAGGGCCATAGCAAATGTTTATTAGCTCATCGGTTTTTATTAATTGGCTGGTATTTGGTTGGCTCGTTGGTTGAGTATAAAAACATGAACCACTGGTACTTCACAATGCCCACCTGTTCAGGGTGCATGGCTCACACTTGTTACTTTCACCTTGATAATTATCATGTGGTAATGGCATCCAAGATCACACCCAGTGGGTTTCTGAAAAATTGTGAAATATTTTTCTGAGTTAAGGAAATGTAGCCCATTGAGCAAGTTTCCTCTTTCAGAAATCTTTGAGTACAAGCAGAGTTTGAAACTTAGCACCAACTGGATAGGTTTCACTCTGGAATCTCCGGGGTTAGGTACACTCCTCATTCAGTTTTTTAATCTAGAAACTGGCCTAATGTAATTTACCCATTATCTTACTTACCCATGAAATAGAATAGAATGTGAAGTACCCAGTATAACGTCTGGCATATGGTTAACGTTCACTATGTGAGAGGTCTCTCAAGCCTTTTTCTTGGTTAATTTTGTGTGTGTGTTCTCCTTCCCCTTTTTGTGTGTCAATCTCCCCATTTTTTTGTGCCTTTTCCCTCTATTTTTATCTACTTCTCCATCCTTTTTCTCACCATTGCACTTACTGAATATCTGTAAGAGTTATTAATGGGAAATATTAATTTTACCATTATAGTTGTAAAACTCTAGAGACTTTTCTCTTTGATTTCTACGCAGGAATAGAAATTTTTGGCTTTCCATTGAATGACTATTTCTCTTTATCAAGATATATAGGTTATGAAAAACTGTATAAGACAAATGTCTAGCTTACAAAGTATCTCTGGATGACTAGACCCAGTTAGAAACTTTTTCATAATAAGGAAATAAGATTTCAATTATATTTTGTATCTGAAGAATTATATATTCTCAATATGTGCTCTAACTTTTCATGCCACTGTCCATTAATTGCAGAAAATTATAATTGCATGAATCAATTGAAATCTTAGATTGACTTTAGTTTTATGATTTTTAAATTAGAAATTGTTTTTTCACTTTACATGAGCAATTTTGTTCATGATTTCAGTTTTGCTTTCATCTAACAGTGTTAAGCATTATTTTTAATGTCATAATGAGATGAAAGATATCAAAGAAAGTGAGAAAAAGGAATTCAAGGAACAGCTTTGGAATCTAGAAACAGTACTGCTAATCACAGTAAGCTGTTCTCCCAGAGACCTGGATTTAAACAGGTTAAATCAGACCTGCTGACAGCCAACTCTGTGATGTTCATTAAATGGAGTAAGGTTTTGTTGCCAGAAAGTTGACAACTATAAGTCATAATATGATGAAGCAATTGTGTAAGTTAAATGATTATGTACTATTTTAGTGACCAAATAATGTACAAGCAATTTAGAAAGAAATGGGAAGGAACATTGATAGTGTAAGAACCACATTTGGAAGTGACTAGGCCCATGTTTAAAAAGGAAGTCGTGTGGAAGAGTTAAGCTTACCAGGAAGAGCCACAACAAAAGCACATGGTTTCCACTATTCGATCCTATCTCCAGGTGGAAACATCACTGGTGAGGTCTCCATTTGGCTTGGTAATGTCCGCAATTCACATAATCAAAGCCACCTCACGGGTTTCCGTTCACTTGCCAGGTTTTTTTAATGATACATGGTCCACCACTTTCTTCCTCCACTTCCCTACCTTCTAACAGATGAAGGTGGAATTTGACCTTGGAGACAGGTCAGCCTTTCTCTTATTTTTGTTTCTTTAAAACAGAAATATGTATCCACTGAGTTTCTAGAGATGACTATATATAAAATTGTTGTTCCTTAATTTTTTTTTCACAGTATATGGCTTCAAAATCATTCTTCGTAATCAGTATATACAATTCTTCAATTTGCAAAAGGCTGCCAATATGTATAGCCCTAAGTAGTCTATGTTGAATCTTTGAGATTTTTCTTCTTTTTAATCTTTCAAAAAATAAATATTTATGGTACACACAAGTCAAACCTGAAACAAATCTTTAGCCTTTTAGAACAATCTATTCATTTAGTATTTTAACTTAATTATTTCAAACATTACAATAAATAGCTATGACTCTATTTTTCTCTTATAAATTTCACTTATGTCCATTTTTAAAATTGTCTCAGTTCTGCACCCAGGATCAGGTAGATCATCAAATGTTTAAACCTTTTTAACATTTTGTTCCTATTTTTAAAATTTATTTTTATTTCTATGCCTTCCACTGATGTTTGTTATCTCTAAAAGCAACATAAGGAATAGATAGCACCAGAAAAAAACTGAGCCTTTTTTTTAACATTCTGCCCTGATATGCTGCAAGCTCTCACGACTTGACCAGTACTGTTTTGTTGTTTTGTTTCCATTAGAGAATAAGTCTGTCACCTCTGCTTTGTGTAAAATTTGGTAAAGAGTGATTTTTAAATGAGATTCTGTAATCCAGTGCAAATGGAAAAAAAATTGATTGCAGAATTAAAACAAGTTGGAACATAATTTAATTAGCATCCAAGCAGAAGGGGAGAGAAACTACTTTAGTGCCTTAATGGAAAATCAATTTTGCAAGAAAATTTCACATTTTTAAGCTTAATTAGAAAAACATTGACTTCACAGAAAAGCATGTGAAGAATACATATTCAATCAAATGACAACAGTTTTTTAACTTCCAATGGGCAATTCTTTAGTACTTCTTCAGAATGAGTTAAAGTCATTATTCCTTATGGCATCTTTTATGCCCAAGGATCATGAAAGAAGTGATGATGTTTCTAAGTACATTTAGCAATCAGATGGCAACTATGCTTTCCAAGAATCTCCACCTAACAGTCAATGCCCTGATTGGAAATCCTTATAAAAGGTTAATCGCTGGAACTTTAAACAGGGATGCCAATGAGAACCTTCCTGGTCATTCACAACCTATCACATTTGAGAAATGTAACAAAAACATTAATTTGCATCTATAGCATTTCAGGAAGTTACACTTGTTTCCCTTTACTTGTTCATTGTTTATCTTCCCCACCATCCAGGCAGCAGCCATGTCTATGGTTCCTCACCAAGTCTAATCACAGAGGCAAGCACCTAGTAGGCGTGCAAAAATATTTTTGAATGAATGAATGGAGATGTTTATTATACTCTAAGAAATGATTCCAAATGCCCTTTTTAAAGTCCGTATTAATGGTCATTGTGTTCCTATTTTACAAGTGAAGGTTAAAGTGTTCTGAAAGCTAATCAGCAAAATG